CTCTTAGAGTATAATGTCTGAGGCCAAGAACATTCACATAACAAAGGTTCATTCACAAATTATTATAGGCAGGCCCTGTGTTAAGTGCTGAAGAGACAAGGATAAAGAAGATAGACCCCATGAGGGTAGGGATATTAGGCACACAAAGTTTTCATTTAGTGTGATGAGAATTCCTGTGAAGATTGTATGAGGTAATGGGGACATTGAGAATGGAGTGCCTAATGATGAGGAAAGGCTTCTAAGAGGAGGTGGTACTTTAACACAGATATGAAGGATAAATAGGAGTCTGCTGGCTGAAAAAGGGAGGGATTGTGTTCCAGATGTATACATATATTTCCTTGATCTGGAACACAATCTATATACATATACATATATATATACATATATAATATACATGTGTGTATATATGTATACATATGTATATACGTGCATTATGTGCTTTAGGGTAGTAGTTCCTGATTTTTTTTTTATACCAAGACATGTTGTAAGAGTTATATGAATTACTTAGTAACCATATAGAGTATCAATGTTAGTATCAGGATTCAGAGGAGGCGTTGTTGATAATTCAGGATTTTTCTCCTGCTTCAGTTCATATCCTAGGACACTTATTTATCATAACTTTGTTTGAATTGTCACATAAAACATTCGTCTTTGCAAACATTCAGGAACCAAGGCAGATTCTATGTTGCCAAGCTGCTTATGATTTAATAGGGGAGCTAGGAAAGATGTGCACCTGTGCTGTATGAAAAGTGAGTAATGTATGTGGGAGTTTGGGGGGAGGGGAGAGAATCACATGGGTCAGATTTTTTTGGGATTCAGGGATTGGTCATTTACTCAGTGCTGTCAGTCTTATTCCCAAAGTGACTGAGGCTTCAGAAAAACTGCTCTTGGTGCCCACACCTCGGAGTTCCTTGACTGACAAAGCGCAAGTTATCGAAATTTCCAGAGAGTCATCTGCATTGATGAAAAACCTCTTGAGTGTTGTCATTGTGAAAGGATACAAAAAGAAGGATGACTGGTGCCTCCTTACGTGTGCAGGGATGGGTGTAATCCCTAAGAAGGTAGGAGGGCCATGCTAGGCCGAGCCAGGTGTTTGCGCCCGTCTCTGGAAGTACCAGTGCAAACATGTCCCCAAAACCCACCTTTCCAGTGCTCTTCCATTAGACTCTGTCAGTATTACCTCATCATTGCCAGGCAGGCCTTATTCAACTGTCCTGTAGAAAGACAGATGGTTTTTATTTTCCTTGTAAGCTATTATGCAACTTGAATCAGTGCTAGCATTATTTACTCAGGTTTTGCCTCTTATCGTAACATTTAGCCTGTCTCCATTTTGTCCTTACTCTCCTTTCTAATCAGGCATTCCTTTGAATTATCATAAATCTTCTTTGATGTGTTTACATTTTAATGTTATCTATTTTAAGCCTCTTTATCTTTCCTTCATCTCCTACAGTTTTTTGGCTTTAGTCACAGTACCTCAGATTCCAAATCCTTGCTTTCCCTTCTCCTGCCACTTCCTACAGCAATGTTTACCCTGCCTACCACTTCACAGATCTCTCTTCTCTTAGTCTCCAACTCCTACCCCATCTCAACTGTGCTTTGTGGCCTCAGGAAAAATCCTGAGGCAGGCCTGCGAAGTTTTCCTTTGCCGCCTCTCCCCAGTTCTCCCACGTTTTTTCCATACCTTGTCCTACCTCTGTCTTAAATTACATCAACACAGATGTGCTGCTCACCAGCTGTGGGTGAGGGAGTTGGCCAGCCTTAGACGGGATTCCAAGATGGCTTTAAGGAGTATACTGTCTGGTGTGGGAGGTAGATAGATCCGTAAATAACTAAAATAAGGTCTGAGATATCATAAATGAGATATTCGAGAGACAAAATTAGAGTAGTGTGAGTAGGAGAAAGGAATGAGGAGCACTGCAGAAAAGTCTCACCCTCTACTAGCTAATTATGACACAGCAGAGTTGCATGACATTGGACCCTCCCTTGTCTTGCTGGGAGCTGTGTCCAGTCTGATCCACTTTGGCTAGGGTTATCTTTTGCTAACTGCTTCTGTTTTCCCAGGAAATCCTGAGCAGACTTAGTGGGTATGTGTGTCCACCCCTGTTTCTGATTCCCGCCTGTCTCTTGCTGCTGTCTTCCATTTCCAGGCTCCTCATATGATCTCGGGGCCTTGTCCTCCCACTGCAGTCTTCCTGCAGTCTCGCCACTGCATGTGGCTGGACAAGTTCAGTCCTATTTCTCAGGGCTGCTGTGTGTATTCTCATTGGGGGCCTAGGGCAGAAGGAGAAAGTAGGGTTGGAGGTGACAGAGGCAATAGGAAGGGGCATTGTCAGGTTGGAATTTCTCTCGGTTTCAGCAACTAAGGTGTGTGTGTATATACACACACACACACACACACACACTTCCCAGACTGACCCAGTTCTGGTATAGTTGTTTTTGCAGAGTCACCAATCTCATCGGTTAAGATGGAAAAGAACCATAAAAAGACAATGGTAATAATAGACTGAGTTCTGACCTATTTCTCCTTGGATACTTTCCCAAGAGATAGAGATAGGATAATGGGGAATTTGGTTATCGGGATGATGTTTGGTGTTTAAATACCTTGCCTGTGGTGAGAGTAAGGGCCGTAGCCTCCCTGTACTATCTGTAAGTGTTGTTAACTCCTAGCTCTTGGAAATCTAGCCTTTGGCAAAGTATGCACCCAAGTGTTTCCAAAACACTTGTGGAAATCTGAGCTGGAACTTGCTATTGACAAATCACAGGAAGGTGCATCTTTCTAGATTTAAAAATCTCCTATTTAGAGCAGGTCAGTTATGCTCCTACAAACTCACTTAGACCCATTTTGCTTTTTTGTGCTTTCATCAGTCACGGTAGTAGGTCATTTCATGACTCTGGATCTCGCATATTACATATCTCTTCTGGAACCAGTAAATCCTTCCAGAGAAATTTGTAGAAATACTGCTTTCTAAAGTGAGCTTCAGAGTGGGAGCAGTTGGTACACAGAAATGTTTATTGAATGAGTAACATTTTAGTAACCTCTAGTAAATTTAGTAACAGCTATTAATCAGTTTATGGACTGTGTAACTGGGAAGAAAGTTGTAAAACAAATTTCAGTAACATATTTACAAATAACATTAGCAGTCATTTCTTACGGAATACGTACTTGGTAACAATCTCAACCTGTACTTACATATTGGTTTATGTACTTACATATTGCTTTTCACAAGATTTCTATGTATGAAAGCCCTGAAGATCATTTAAATGAGTACTGCTGTCATCCGCATTTTACAGATGCCTGAAATAAAGGCTAAGATGCTAGTATGGTAGTGCTGGGATTAGAACTCATAACCTAGTTTAGTACTCTTTCTTTTGCAAACTGTTCAGACAAAAAGTTTTCATGAATCTGTAATAATAAAAGTAAAGCAATGGCAAGTTTGTTTTTTTTTTTAACCATACTACTTTTATTCAATTTAAGATGCCCTTTATTTTGAGATTCTTTCATTAAATACTAAGTGCCCAGCTATGAACCAGCTATGTACACAGGCACTTGATACAGTGTTGAACAAGGCAGACAGGGAGCTTGTTCTAAGGGAGGAGGAGAAATAATAAATAAGTAAACAAGTGATCATTTTAACAGTAAGTAAGTGGGGGTAGTAATAAGAGCTTGAAGAAAATAGAGAAAGGCTGGTGGTGGTGGTATTTTTCTGTGTGATATATTCCTGAAAATGAACATCAAGTTTTAATGTACATAAAGGGAGATTCCTTCCTGAGGAATCCAAGCAATCATAAAATTTCTTCAGGGTGGTGTTTGGAGGACTCACTCATGTTAATATGTATTTTTCTTTTTCTTCAAAATTGACCTAAAGTCCAAAATTGGCTTAAGTCCAGAGAGTGTCTGGTTGAGGCTAAAGATTTGCTGCTTCAGGAACCCCTGATGATTGATTACCAGACATTTCATGATTTTGAGGCTATGAGAGCCAAACTTATTGTTGGTCAGATACACCATTTTCACTCATCTTTATGTAATAACAAAGGCAAAACACTAGACAACAATACTTTCTTAAGATTTTTTTTTTTAAATTAGCAGCAGAACTTTCTTCAAAGAAAATTCCAGATGCCCAGTCTATAAAACAGCTGTGGCTTCAAGCCACAAGCTTACTGTTCTCTTTTCCACACCTTAATGGCCTCTGAGGAATAGTTGAGAAGTCACTAAGTCTTTGCAGAACACAGGATGAAAACCACAATCAAAAATTCAAATCGTAAATCCTGTCATAAAAAGATAGCTGTAGGGGAGCCTGGGTGGCTCAGTCATTAAGCATCTGCCTTCGGCTCAGGTCATGATTCCAGGGTCCTGGGATCGAGCCCCGCATGGGGCTCCTTGCTCAGTGGGGAGCCTGCTTCTCCTTCTCCCTCTGCCTGTCTGTCTGCCTGCTTGTGCGTGCTGTCTCTCTCTCTCTGTCAAATAAATAAATAAAATCTTTTTTTTAAAAAATAGCTGTATTATTGAAGCTGGCAGAGCCACCGTATCAAGCTTCACAATCATGTTTTGAGATTTTTTTTAAAGTCCACATTCAGTGAAAAAATAGATTTATATTTATATTTTTACCTAAAATTACATTTTCAGGTAGCATTTATTATATAAAGCAAATTCAAACTTTAATTGTAGTTGTTTATTCAGAGCATACTTTTCTCCTCCAATTTTACTGAGATATAATAGACATATAGCACTGTAGAAGTTTAAGGTGTACAACAGAATGATTTGACTTATATGTATTATGAAATTATTACCACAATACAGAGCATACTTTTCATATAATGTGGGCATGGTGGTACTACTGGGACTGAAGTACTTTTCAACTACTAATTTAAAAATTAAATTTCATATTGTCCAAGATTTATTCTTTTGTAAATTGTTTCATTATAAATAAATGATGTGTTTATATATTATTATAAAGTAATTGGTTTGCTAGTTTAATTTTTTTTTCCTGTTTGTCTTCTAGTTTGCCAGAGTTTGGATACCTGATCCTGAGGAAGTTTGGAAGTCAGCAGAGCTGCTCAAAGATTATAAACCAGGAGATAAAGTCCTCCTGCTTCGCCTTGAGGAAGGAAAGGTAAAAATGTTGCTTTTATTTGTTGTCGTTGGCATAAAGTGAAGTGAATTCAAAAGTGTGAGTTTGTTGTGACATACCTGACTTCAGTTGGAAATTAAATTTTGAATTAATCTAATGTTTTCACTTACTAAATTAAAAAAAAATAGCAAACTCAATTTTCTTTCCCAATGGGTTAATGAAAATGGCAGAACTTTAAAAATCTGGTATCTTGGTCTATCAATTATAGTGATTAGGTTTAGATTCACTTCTAATCCTCCCAAAGATGTGCCTGTTTATTTTGCTTAGGCTAGCATTAATTTCATAGTAACTAGGAAAATATTGCTTAAGGAGCCAGTGTGAGATTTGATATTTGCTGGACCTAATCATTTGAAAAATATTTACTGACAAACTATCATGTATAAAGCAGTTTGTTTTTTTTTTTAAAGATTTTGTTTATTTATTTGACAGAGAGAGACACAGCGAGAGAGGGAGCGCAAGCAGGGGGAGTGGGAGAGGGAGAAGCAGGCTTCCCGTGGAGCAGGGAGCCTGATGCGGGGCCTGATCCCAGGATTCTGGGATCATGACCTGAGCCGAAGGCAGCCGCTTAACGACTGAGCCACCCAGGCGCCCCTATGTATAAAGCAGTTTGCCAGCAACCAGAAAAATATAAAACCCAATTCTGTCTCTATACTTTCCTGTCTGCATTCACTGCATGGGTAGACACATCTTAGTTCTACCTTTTTGACCTCTCCACAATATTTGACAAGGCCTGTCACACTGTTTTCTTAAAAACCTTTGTGACATTAATTTTCCTTTAACAACTTCTAGTCTAGCCAGGGAAACTAGCTACAAATACACGAAAAGTTACATAAAGCATAGGGTCTAAAGAGTAGTTCAACACTACAGGAGCACCTGGGTGGCTTGGTTGGGCGACTGCCTTCGGCTCAGGTCATAATCCTGGAGTCCTGGGATCGAGTCCCGCATCAGGCTCCCTGCTCAGCAGGGAGTCTGCTTCTCCCTCTGACCCTCCCCTGTCTCGTGCTCGTTCTCTCTCTCATTATCTCTCTTTCAAATAAATAAATAAAATCTTTAAAAAAAAAAAAAGAGTAGTTCAACACCACAATATTAAAGATGTCCAAAGGTTATGATGAACTATTGCCAAATGAGTAATACTATCCTGAGAGTTAGCATGTAATAAACACTTACTATGTGCCAGGCATAGTTCTAAGTGTTTTACTTGCTATAACCCGTTTAATCCTCACAACAATCCTATGAAGTGGGGCTGTTGTTATTACCACTTTATCGGTAAAGAAATTAGGGCTCAGAGGGATTGCTCAAGATTATACAGATATTAAGGAATCAAGCTGGGATTTTAAGCCAGAAAATTTGTCTTCATGATTTCTGCTCATAACCACTCTGCTATCTTGTAAAGATAGTAATGACTTTAGGATGCCTAAGAGGGAAATTTCATTATGGGCTGCTTTGTCACGGAAGGCATCAAGAAGGAAGAAGGATTTTGACTGAATTTTAAAGGTAGAGAGAGTTTGGATTGACAAGGAGAAAGGGGGTAGACCCTATGAGAATTGGAATGTATTTTGGAGATAGTGAATGTAACAGGCTGAGTGGAGCAGAGATTTAGAAAGATGTGTGTTCTAGTTCCAGGCTCACATATTAAAGTATCTGCTATAAAGCATGTTCAGAAGTGGCAAGAGGTGCTCTCTGACATCAGTGTTAGGTAAGACAAATAGATATATTTATGAATAGTATGGCATATGATATAATAAGTAAAATCAGGGAGGCATTGTCTGAAGAATGAATAGACGAGGGGAAGTGCATTTCAGGGATCCAGAAAAGCATCTGCAAAGGCAGGGAGGTATGCACAATAATGTGTGTTTGGGGAACTACACAAGTTCCATGTTGTTGTTAGGATGTGAAGTAAGAGTGCAGGACTGGCGAGAGGATGGAGGCTGGGAACCACGTGGAAGAGGGCCTGGTGATCATCCTAAAACTCTGGGACTTCAAGTGATATGTGATGGGGAGTGATTGTAGTATTTCTAAAACAGGAAGGATGCTGGATTTGTGTTTTAGAAAGGACTCATTGGTGGCCGCGCGGAGGATGAATTTCAGGAGAGCAAAGCAGAGGCAAGATTAGTTGGGAAGAAGGCAGAAGGCAGGGAAGAGAATTAGGGAGGGCCTTGAATGCCAAATTAATTTATTCAACTACTCTGTGTTAGGCACAACGTTTGGCGCTGTGAGCTATATTTTCTAAGGTTAATTCTCATAACAGCCCTGTAGGTTGGTAGGTAATATTATAACTGTTCTCCAAATAAGGAAGCCAAGGCTCAGAGACATTAAGTAGTTCTGCCAGAGGTTGCTTGGCCAGAAGTGGCTTTTGTGTATTGCAGGGATCAGTGCAAGGACCAGTCAGTTTGGGGAAGGACACTATATCCATAATAAACAGGCAGGTAGAGCTCGAGGGGCAAATGGTAAATTCCTCTCCATCTAGCATAGTTCATTCCAACCTATTTTGAATATTTGACCTCTGTATATCTCTGCAATATTAAGAAAAGTGGCTTTTTACAAAACCAGCTAGTCCTTGTCTACAATTAAATTTCATTTTTTTCCCCTTTTTTACTTGTCATATGTTATTTGCCCTTAATGCATGGTTGAGTGACAATTTGCATGCTTGGCTTTTCCATAAAGCCGTTATTTCCTTGGCTTTAAAGTGAGTAGTGCCTCTTAAACTCTTAATCTCAGAGTCATGAGTTCAAGCCCAGCCTGGAACCTACTTAAAAAAAAATTAAAACCCAAAACTTCTGGTTCAGTAACTGGGTTAAAAAAGTCTAAACTTCCCTCTGAAACCGATGATACATTATATGTTAATTAATTGAATTTACATTAAAAAATGGAAAAATAAAAAATAAAATATTAAAAAAGTCTAAACTTCTCAAACTATATTAGCAAAAATTCTTAATACAAGTCAATACATCTAGTGAAAAAGAAGACTTCCATTTCCACCAGTTCTGTGGCTTTGGAAGGTGCCAGGAAAAGAATGCATTTAATAACTGAGAAGCATATCAGGAATAGAAAATAAGCAAAATGTATAATAAGGCTGTTTTAATTTTATTGCCATGATTTATCCAGATGCTGTATCTTATGCATTTTCAGGATTTGGAATATCGTCTAGATCCAAAGACGAAGGAGCTGCCTCACTTGAGAAACCCTGACATACTTGTGGGTGAAAATGACCTCACAGCCCTCAGCTATCTTCATGAGCCTGCTGTGCTCCACAATCTCAGAGTCCGCTTTATTGACTCCAAACTTATTTATACATATTGTGGTAAGTGTGCCTTGCTGTCTGAGTGGACCATGAACTCTGTCCTCTAACGGACATAGCCACGGAATTATTGTACCCGGGGAAAGAAGGCTGCAGTTGGATTTTCTCCTAGAGAGGCAATCACTAAAGAGTTATCAGAAAAGATTTACCATGTTCATTAGCTAGTTGCATTTTGTGCTGAATAAGCTCTTTTGTGAACTTACATAATTTTGCTCAGAAAAAAAAACAGAAACAAAACAAAACTCAACCGGGCCCATCTTTTAGAGTTTCTTCCTCCCAGCGAAGTCATTTGACAAATTCAGTGACAGTTTGCCAGTTACTTTCATCTCGTACAACTCGTACAAGAACTGCTACATAAAGAGTAGATGTACAAAGATTTATCTTTGGTGCAGGTTCAGGAAGGTTAGTGTTCTCTTGTTCTCATTGCAGGACTGACGACTCAGTAACTGTTCTTGCTTGATGTACTGGCCTGGACACATGCTTGTTGCGGTATTAGCTGCCAGTGACCCAGCTCGGGATTCTTTTTCTTTCTCTTAGAAATTAAGCACCATGTGCTTTTGGGTTTTTTCCCCTTTTCCTTCTTTTGTCTCTCTCTCTCTCTCTTTTTTTTCTTAACCTTATTTTCTCCCTTGTCCCTGGCTCTTTTCTCTACTGACTTATCTTTCTTTCCCTGATTACTCTCCTCTGAGCTCAGGTCTGGGATTTCATTCATTTTCTTCTAAGTCTGTTTGCTTGGGTGACCAACTCAGCACTCACCATTTCTTCCTTACTCCCCTGCTTTGGACAGAGACAGCTATCTTCTCTTCTTAAAGGAATTTATACCTCTTGTATCCTTGATACTAACTCTTTTTCTTCCTTGTCTATGAACCAAATATTTCTGTTTCTCAATTTTCATTTTTCCATTTATCTTTTTCTTGCACATATGTTACCTTCTTGGTGAAGCCTCCCCTGCCTGCCTTATCTAAATCATAAATCCCTACTCCCCTCCTTAGTTCCCGTCTTTTTTTTTTTTTTAAAAGATTTTATTTATTTATTTGACAAAGAGAGACACAGCGAGAGAGGGAACACAAGCAGGGGGAGTGGGAGAGGGAGAAGCAGGCTTCTCACCGAGCAGGGAGCCCGATGCGGGGCTCGATCCCAGGACCCTGGGATCATGACCTGAGCCAAAGGCAGATGCTTAATGACTGAGCCACCCAGGCACCCCAGTTTCCGTCTTCTTTCTCTGTTTAATTTTTCTCCTTTTTCTTTCTAGTATCTAACCTGTGATATTTATTTTTTCTTATCTTGTTAATTTTCTGAATTTCCCACTAGAATATAAGGGCTATGAGAATAAAGATTTGTCTTTTTTTGTTTACTGTTATAAACCGAGCACTCAGCAAAGACTTGAGGCATACCTGGAGCTGAATTAATATTTGTTGAATGAAGGAGTTCATTAAGTTAATATACACCTACTATAAAATTTAAGGAAATACAAAGAAAAGTATAAAAAAGGAAAAGTAATTACATGTAATTCACTACTGAAAAATAACCAGTATTATGTTGACATATCCTATATGTGTGTGTATGTGAGAAAGTATAAATAGATACGAAATTGGAATTAGTCTGTATATAATTTTGTGTCATCTTTTCCTATGGCATTTAATATTCTTTAAAAACATAATTTGTGGTGGTAGTATAATAGTCTGTCATATAGATGTAACAAATTATTTGGTTACTCTTCCTTTATGATATATTTTGCTTGATTCTACTTTTCACTCTTGTGAATAATGTTATGACAAACATCTTTATGAAAAAAACCTTTGCTTGAATGTCTGGTTATTTCATTTGGATAAATTTCTAGAAGTGAATTTTTTATTTAAATATTATGAAAATATTTAAAGTTCTTTTAACATTGCCATAGTTTTTATTTTTAATAGCTTAGGCCAGTTTTTAAATGGTGTTTTAGTTAGGTCTAGGTGTAATAGGCTCAGAGGCAAAGGCTGTGATATATTTTGATCTTTAACAATTTGTTAGTTCAAGATTAATGGAAATCGAAATTTGTGTTAACTCTGATTCTCACTTCACCAAGTTTGATATGTCCATTAGTATATCATTAATTTCTTCTTTTGCTTTTTTTACCCCTCCCCCAGGTATAGTCCTAGTAGCTATAAATCCTTATGAACAGCTGCCTATTTATGGAGAAGATATTATTAATGCATATAGTGGTCAGAATATGGGTGATATGGATCCACATATCTTTGCAGTAGCTGAAGAAGCTTACAAGCAAATGGCCAGGTTGGTGAAAGCTCTATTTATTTTTTCATGACTCTTACTAGTTGTGATCGTTTCTTTTTTGCTGAGTCACAGATATTTTAAAACACAGTGAAGAGCAACTGGTAAATTATTATTAAATAAACAGCCTTTACTATTTCAGATGGCCTGCATTATTATTAAAATAACCTCATATTTATAAAAGGACATATAGTTTTTAAAAACTGCCTTTGGAATCTCCTCCCGATCCTGTGACTGTGCAAGGAGAGATGTTATGTTTACAGATGAGAGGATCGAGGGTTGGTGGTTTTAAGTGATGTGCCCACTGTCCTTCAGCTAATGAATGACAGACTAGAAATAAAAGCCCTAAGAGCAAGAAGAATCTGCCTGTATCTTAGAGAATTAAATATCAAGGAAATTGTGAATTTAATGTTACTCTTATGTTGTAGAGACCAGTGATCCTGAACAGCGTCAGTAAAGTGTCTTTGATATTAACCATGGAAGCCTAACATTTTGAGAGTAGAAAACCAGAGAAAAAAAGCTACTTTCAAGACTAGATTATACTCTTAATAATGTAGTATAATGTAAATCAAAACTATGGATGTATAGAATAGTATACATTTAACTCATTTCTCCAGTCTTCAGGTAAGAACCAGCATATTATAAATACAATGTGGGAATCCCTCAAGCAATTCATGAAGTGGAAAGAAAAGTAATACTGCAGAGGTTTTATTTTCTCCTTTCCAACCAGGGAGAGTGTTTGTACATAATTGGGCCCGAATGTGACAGAAATTTAGAATTATTTTATTGACAGAATTCATAGAAGTCATTACGCCCTTTTATTAATAAAATTCTAATAATCATTAACAATTATTAAGTACTCTCTCTGTGCAAGGCACTGTTTAATTGCCTTCCATTTTGTTAAGTAATTTTATCCTCACAGCAACCTTCTGAGGTTGGTATTATTATTATTATTATTATTTTTGTTTGTTTGTTTTAAAGATTTTATTTTTAAGTAATCTCTGCATCCAATTTGGGGCTCCAACTCACAACCCTGAGATCAAGAGTAGCACTCTCCACCAACTGAGCCAGTCAGGCAGAGGTTGGTATTATTATTAATCTTCATTTTACAAATGAGACAACTTAAGCACTGAGAAGTTATTTAACTTTCCTAAGGCCACATAACTAGGAAGACTAGCTTTCGAATTGCATTAGTCTAACACTATGAAATATTATCATATTAAATATAAAATGACTAAATACAGTTTTGTACTGCATTACATGCTGTATTATAGCAGATTCTGTTATAAAATGGGAATGAGTGTCAAAAGTGTAAGAAAGGTTACTTTTTTTAAGGATTTATTTATTTGAGAGAGAGAGTGCACACATGTGAGTGACGGGGAGGGGCAGAGGGAGAGAATCTTGAAGCAGAACCTCCGCTGAGCGTGGAGCTCCATAGGGAGGGGAATTGGGGGGGGTGCTCAGTCCCACAACCCATGAGATCATGACCTGAGCCAAACCTAGAGTTGGCCGCTCAACTGACTGAGCCACCCTGATGCCCCAGAAATGTTACTTTTTTAAGCTTTTAAATTCTATCTATCAGTATAATTTTTTCCCTAAAATGAGAAAAGCCCACCAATATTTGACTTGTGTAGTACTGGAGCATTCGATACAATGTTAGCACCACACAAGTACATCCAGAGAACTACCAGGCAGAGAGGGAATTGTGTGATGTGTCAGGACCTAAAAACTGTCTCTGAAAAATGTTATACTGCTCCTAGAGAATGATATGACTTCTTTGAAAATACTAATCTTAAATATGAAAGTTTGGTTCTTAGCATTTTTGTGACAGGAAATCCAAGAAGAGCGTTAGATTTATATCACTGTTTCTGGCTTTTCAGCCCTGGATTTACTCTGGTTTCCTCACATCCCCCATGCCCCCCATTATTCCCCTGTGACTCAGTCAGTGTGATTACTGCAGGGTCGCTTGTTTCTTTTCCCTCTGCTCAGTTTTGTTTTTTAGGCAGTTTTAAAATACGCTTCAATCAGTTATGGTAAGTTCACCATTTATATGAGTAAATTTGTACACATAAAATGTGCTGCAGTAGCTAAATAGACCATGTCTCTTAGGCATAAGGTTGGAGATAGATATTGCAGGATCCTTTCTTATCATCTTTTCCTTGCCGAGTGGAGATGTGCCGTATTTACCAAATGTGAAACCTAGAGTTTCACATTGCTGGTACTCCTAGAGGCCCCTTACATCTTCAGGGAACGTATAGTCACTTGTTCAGTAGACCGTTACTGCACACCATCCACACACTGTCCTGGGCATGGGGGACACTAAGAGCAAACAAGTGTGACAAAATAGACAAAAATTCTTACCCTCATGAAGTGAGGCATGATAAACAAAAGTAAATAAGATACACAGTTTGTCACATATTAATAAGTGCTATCCTGGAAAATAAAGTTAGAAAAGTAGATAAGGAATGCTAGGTGGGCCAGAGGGCATATGTACTAGGCTAAGGGAAAGCCTCATTGTAAAGCTGCCTCCCCCCACCTTTTTTCCCAAACTTCAAAAAAAAAAAAAAAAACCTTAAACTTACAAAAAGGTTGGAAAAGTAGTACACAGAGGTACCATACACCCTACATCCAGTTTTCCCAAATGTTAACATGTTACATAGCCATAGTAAATAATTGAAACCAGGAAATTCACATTGATATAATACTATTAAATAATCTAAAAATCTTGTTCACATTCATCATTTCCCCTCTGATGTCCTTTTTCTGGTCTAGGATCCAATCTAGAATCATACATTGCACTTAGTTCTGTCTCCTTAGGCTCCTTCAATCTAGGACCATCCATTAATCCTCTTTCTTTTCATGGCTTTGACACTTTGGAAGAATATTAGCCAGCTATCTTGTAGGCCTTGAGGGCGCAGCAGTAGAAAAATTAGGCAAAACAGACTGCAAAAATCCTTCCTCTCTTGAAAGTTTAAGGTTTTCTCCTAATTAGATTGAGGCTAGCAGTGCGCTTGGGGCAGGAACCTCACAGAAGTATCGTGCCCTTCATCGTATAGAGGAAACACAAGATTCCAATTACTGGCGATGTTAAGTTTGATCACTTGGTTATGGTGGTATCTACCAGATTTCTGTACTATAATTACTATTTTAAACTTTGAAATTAGTAAGAATATTATGGGAAAATACTTTGAGATTGTGCAAATATCCTGTTTCTCATCATACTTTCACTTTACTAATTTTAACATCCATTGATGATTCTTGCCTGCAAGAGTTTATTATGTGGTGTTTGTCAAATGGTCATTTGCTATTTCCATCATTCCTTCTCCAGGTATGAATAGGAATTCTACTCTTAAGGAAGAGCTATTCCTTTCCCCCCATTTATTTAGTAGTTGCTTAGTTTTTATTTGTATCAATATGGACTCATGGGTATTTATTTTATTCTGTGGATTATTCTCCATTACTATCATTATTTATTTTTTTCAAACTCTCTCAGAGTTGGCTCTTTGGGAGCCCTTTCAAGTGTCCTTTCAACAGTCCTCCATTGTTTTTTGATCATTTCCTTACTTTCTAGCACCATTTGGCTTATTTTCTAATTTCCTTGACCATTCTGGAATTAGCCATTTCTTCAAGGAGCCCTGGTTCCTTTTTGGGGGGAATGTATACTTAGAAACCAAGATCTGTCTGCTAGGCGTGCTCACTACAACTGGGGCATCATCTCTAAGCCCAGTACACAGGGCTAGGAAATACATGTTTCCCCATAGCCTCACCAACAGAATGTGTTGTCATACTTTTAAAATTTCACCACATTGACAGGTGAGAAATGGTATCCCGGTTTTGTTTTGATTTGCCTTTCTCTAAATATGAGACAGTTGCACATCTTTCCATACACACACACACACACACACACATCTATGTCTATTGTAATGTGTATCTCTATATATTTTAAAAAACATGAGTTCATATTGATACATCCAATTCCAATTCCAATTCAACACCGCAGATTTTATTTTTGTTTTCTCTTTTTCCTTCTTTTACTTCTTTCTTTGGTCTTGAGAAACTTGGCTCTTATTATCCACAATATATTTACTTCTTTGCTGAATCCTAGAATACTCAAAAAGTAGTTTAAGAAATATTAACCCACAACCCTGTGAAAAGCAAATTTACCACTCAAGTACAATATTTGTGTCCAATTCATTTTCTCTATAGCCTCATAGAATATAGTTAAAGTTCTGATTTCCAAAGTTACTTAGGTTAGTTCTTGTCTTACCCACTTTATTAGTTTATTCAACCACTTTCCCATATATAGTCCTTCAGATTGTTTTCATCATTCTGCAGTTATAAACAATGCTGTAAATAACTTTGTATATATGTATTTCTGTATTTTAAGAAATGTAGCTTCAGATAAGTTGCTAAAAGTGGCATTGCTAGGTCAAAAGGTAGGTGTAAATGTAGTTTTGTAGGTATTGCCATATTCCTTCTAGAAGAGTTGTACTGGTTTGTATTTCTGCCAGAAATGTTCAAGAGTCCTTGCTTCCCCATAGCCTCATCAACAAAAAAATGTGTAGTCTTTCTTTTTAGTTTTTCACTATCCAGTGATATCTCAATGTTGTTTTCATGTGTATTTCTTTAAATATGAGTGAGTTTGAACATCTTTTCATGTGTTTTAGAGCCATTTTATTAATGCTTTAGTTTCTTTGTTTATGTGGTGAACTGTCCACTCATGTCTGTTTCAATTTTTCTATTGTGTTTCAGTCCTTTGATCCTCAATTTTAAGAGTTTTTTTTATTTATATTTTTTAAGTTTCTTTCTTTTTTTTTTTTTAAGATTTTATTTATTTCACAAAGAGAGACACAGTGAGAGAGGGAACACAAGCAGGGGGAGGGGGAGAGGTAGAAGCAGGCTTCCCACCGAGCAGGGAGCCCGATGCGGGGCTTGATCCCAGATCCCTGGGATCATGACCTGAGCCGAAGGCAGACGCTTGACGACTGAGCCACCCAGGCGCC